AGAAGGAATTAATTAACTAGTAAAAATGTCCTCAGTTATTATACTAAAAATGTCCTCAGTCATTATACTAACATTGGAGCCAAATTGGTGCTTCATAATGAGGACATATGAGCAGTGACAGTAACAAACAACTGTCATATATACTCCCTTGGAAAAATTCTTCTCAATTGTTTGAACAACAATATATATCAGTAACTATAAATTCCCTGAAAAACAAAATATAGACAGCATGTAACAGAGCAAGTCATAATCATGGGTTGGAACAAAGAACTGTGAGATGGCTAATTAGGATCTCCACCAATTTGTTCATATTCGGAAGCATCAATTTCATGCAGACGACGAGATGGAAACAGCTTGGGAATAAGAAGGTGTTGCCTTATGCTTGTGAGGAGGAAAAACGGCAAAGGGAAAAGAATTTATTTAGTAGGTGCATATATACACTCTCTGTATATACAATAATACAAATATACTTAGTAATCAATTTTTATTTAATTTTATCCATAGTAAGTGGATATATTCTCTTCTTTGTTGACCTATTCATTAAGTGGATATATTTAGTAATTAAATTTTATTTAATTTTAATTTTTTTTATCCGTATCGGTACGGTTCAGTAAAACCGAACCCTTATGGGTTCGGAACAGATACCGAACTGATAGTAATTTGATAACCGCTACAAGCGAGTCAGTACGATTCGATTTATTTTCTCGTCGGTTCTTTTCTGGTAAAAAAAAATACCAGCACTAGTGAAAAGCAATTCGTTTTTTATTTGTTTTTTATATCCAACAACAACCCAAGGGTGTGCTTGGATATAAGTTTGTTGGATATTTTGATTTTGATTGATTTTTTTTTTTTGTACGTATAGTTGAATTTGAAAAAGTTAGTTGTGTTAGGCTTGATTGAAATTTTGAGTTTCTATTAAAATAATATTTAAAATAAAATAATTTAAGTCACTTGATGTAAAAATATAAGAGATATGGTTGAATGGATGGTTAAAATTATGTGAGTAGTTGAATATTGAATTCAAATTAATGTGATGTGTGAAGATGATTGATATTATTTAATTATATTCATAATATTTAAAAATATTGAGATTGAGTTAAACTGAAGTTAGTGATTGAAAAAATCTAATCACAACAATATCCAAGCACCACCTTAGGGGTTAGGTCATGACTCACTGCAGTCAATCCCTAAGGGTCGTTGATTTCACACGCACGTGTGAGCGTGTGTACCTCTAAATCAAAGGCCCATAAGGGGTGCTTGGATACAAATTTATTAGCCTTTGAGTTGATTTTAAAAAATTTAGTGTGATATTGAATTTTATTAAAATAATAAAATAATTACGAAAGTTATTGGATATTTGGAAGATAATTGGAAGTGAAAGTTAGTTATGATAATATGAGTTGATGAATAGTGAATTAAAGTTGATGGAATGTATAAAAAAAATTAATTGATATTATTTGATACTACCTCTTATTCTTTTTAAATGTCATTTTGGCTTTATCAACTATTAATCAAAATAAATGTCGTTTTGGATCTTTTGTATATATTTTTCCATTATTACCCTTATTTAGTTAATAAATACACTACGTTCATATTCTCTTCATCTTTTTTTATAACATTCATCTATATCTTCATTAATAAGGATTATTATTGACAAAAAAATTATTCTTAATTAGTGTGCAACTTCCTAAAACGACACTTATTATGAATAGGAAGAGTATGTTTTTTTAAAAAAAATTGTATCCATCACCCATTAGGGCTAACTAGACCATACCTCGAAATCACCGCGAATACGTTGTTATGTCAATCGATCGAACTATTATTAAAAGGTTGAATGAATGAGGATTCACTGTATTGTTTGTAAGTAATTAAACACAACATTATTAGATGAAATCAAGGTAATAAAGATTATCAGAATTATGAGATTCTTTTTATTTCACATCAATTTCTGTGAATTGAGTTTAAAAATAATAAAAATTGAAGTACATTTCCCAATGCAATTTGATTTATGCTGTACGCTGCTCAGTCCACAGCTGTATTTGTACGTCTTATGAAATGGAGTAGTTTCTTTCTCCACCCCACCTGCCTCATCACTCTTCCCTACCAACCACCACTTTTCCCTCTTTTTCTCCCTTTGTTTTTGGCCCCCAGTTTCGTAATTATTAAAAATATGACGTTTCGAATCTATACCTAATTTGTAATTTTATAATTTTGGATGATAAAAAATATACTAGTAAATTCTTAGAATAGTGAAGTGTCAATTTGATAGATAAATTCTAATAGCTAAAATGTCTATAATTTTGAGAGATTTGATGAATTATTGTTTTTTTACAAAAAATAACTAATTTATAAAGTTTTATTTTTGGAGAAAAAGATCTTATAAATAAATTTTGACATGTGAATTGGTCCATGCATATAATTTCAAGAAAATATTCAATAATTATTATGTGTATTACAATTTATTCAGGAATCGGCTAAAATATATCCTTTATGTTCGAGAATATTTTTTTATTATCATAATATGTTAATTGTTGACAAATGATATGAAGTCCTGACAAATAATATATAATTATTGATAATGAATATTTAAGTTTGCAATTAACTGATGTGGATATAACTTTGTCCTTCTCAACAAGTTAATATTTTGAATGTTCTTTTAAATTGGTTTTCAATTTTGGACTTAGGGCAAAAAATAAATAGTAATGCTGTAAGACAATAATAATGTTAGAAAATCATAGTACTCTTTTATAATTCAAACTGAAATGTTAAACTCTAAAAATAGCAATTATGACATTTCGTGGTAGTTTCGTTAAAAAAAAAAAAAAATTAAAAAAATTTGCCAAAAAAAAATATAATAATAATTTTCACCCAATAATTTACTTTATTTTCCTGCCATCTCATTTATTGTTGTCACCGAATTCACCCTATAAATCAGGCCCGAGCACCTCCCTCAAAAACCTCTTCTCTTCTCCTTTCTTTTCCTACCCCTACGCTTTCAATCACACACTGTTATTCTGCTTCATTTTTCATTCTCTCAGTTTTTTATATCCCTCCACAATACTCATCTCCATTCTTCATTTCTCTCTAAATTTAGGACCACAAAAGAAGCAGGTTATATTGAGGCTGCATAAATTGATTTTAGATGATAGAAATTGATGTCTCCTGTACTCAGTGAAATCCTCCGGTCCGGCTTTGAGATCGATTCCTCTCTCCGGCTAGGGACCCATCTCGTTCAATCCTTATCCGTCGTCTTCCTCTATTGGTTCTACGTTTTCTCATAAACCAATCCCAAGCAAACACGCCCTTAAATTACCCTATATTTTCCTCTTTTAAAACTAATTACTGAATTAAAGAAAAATAAAAAAGCAATAAAATGGCGTCTTCGAGCGGAAATTCGTCCTCCGGTTCGCCGCCGGTCCAGAGCTCCGGCTCCGACGAGGATCTGCAGAACCTGAGAAAAAGAAAGCGGATGCAGTCGAACCGGGAGTCCGCCCGGCGGTCCAGGCAGAGGAAGCAGAAGCATCTGGACGATCTGACGGCTGAAGTCGATCGGCTGAGGAAGGACAACGGCCGGATCTCGAGCAGCGTAGATCTGACCGCCCAGCACTGCGCGAGGGTGGAGGCCGAGAACTCGGTCATCAGGGCGCAGATGATGGAGCTTGCGCAGAGGCTCGAGTCTTTGAACGAGATCCTCAGCTACATGAGCTCCGCCGGCGGCGGAGACGGCGTCGTGGAGGCGGCGGAGTTGCAGGGGTTTGGGGAAGGGGCGTGGAGTATGGTGGGGTTTAATCAGCTGCAGCCTATTGTGGCCTCGGCTGAGATGTTTGAGTATTATTGTTAGATTCGTTTTGTTNTTAATGTGGTGTTTTTAGATGGTGAAATGATTAACCAATAAAATTACTTGCTAGTTGTGTTTTAATTTATTTTTTCTTGATATACTTTAGTTAGTGATTGTTGACAAGTGATATGTTTGATTTTTTATAGGTAACCAATCAAAGTTGGATTTGTGGGTTGGGTTTGCGCTTGGAAAAATGTTGACGAGTTATATAAATAGTGTATACAATGTAATGCTTCTTATATTTGTAGGCTTATTTGTAAAACAACTGGTAACATTTAATTTAATTGTGCAATCTAAACATAATTCCTTAATTGTTAGTATTTCTTTTTTAACAAATTGAGTCATCAACACACGATAAACTACAACATCCATTTTGCAAATTGAGGCATGGATAAAAAAATTACAACATTAATTTTGCAAATTGAGGCCGAAGCAAAAGATGCAAATTGAGGCACCAATAAATAAATAAAAAATTACAACATCAATTTTGCAAATTGAGGCACAAATCAATGAATGAAAAATTACAACATCCACTTTGCAAATTGAGGCA